TATTAAATAATAAAAAGTACACTAATTTTTAAATGTGAAAATTTTTTCAAAAACTTAAATAAATAAAAAGTTTTTTTTTAATAAAATTAAAAACATTTTTAAAACACTGAATGTGATTCTAACATTATAATTAGTAGTAATAATATAAAATGTATTTTATATTACTAAACTAAGATTTATAATTAAAATTTCAGAAAAATTTTACAATCCAATATTTAATAATAGCATTAGATTTAAATCAAGTTTCTAATATCAAAATATAGAGATTAAAATGTTTACAATTCCTAAATAATTAAAACTCAAAATTACAAAGACCAGTTTTTTGTTTAGAAAATATACCAAGTTATAGGACATAGTGTAAGTAAGAAATTTCTTATTAACTGTATCAGTAATGAATATTTTCATATAAACGCTCTAACAAAAATCTGTTCAAAATATGAACTTTGTAAATTATAAAATACAAAAAAATTAATAATATATATGTAATTTTTTAATAATTTTTTTTAAACAGCGTTAACTGAATAATAAAACACATGTTAAAAAACTTGCTATAAAAGGAACTTAGCTTAATGCAAATTTCAATTAACATAGTAATTTAGATGTATAATTTTTTTCTTTTAAAAAAATAAAAAACCAAAATGCCATTAACAAGTTTGCAGACAAAAAAATTAGTCATCCCCTGGGACATTAATGCAGATTAAAAGCTTTAATCATAATCTGTCTTTCAAATAGACTGAGGAGAAGATTCAGTACTTAACAGAGGCAATTTCTATAGAACCTATAAGCAAGTTAGACATACAAACTGAAAAAGTTGTCATGGGTCAATCTTTTGCATCATGGCATTTTTTACTGCTGTTCTCAGTGGCTGATTTAGGGAGGCATATGTGCCCAAGGACTCAGGTTGTGAGGGACTCATTAGCAATTGCTCAAACATTTTTCCATTTTAAACAATTTGTCATTCAGCTTTTTGTGTCATATATACAATTTAAATGCATATAAATATTTTATGCATAGGATAGCATTGTGTGAAGGAATTTTATCAAAATAATTATTTAATAAAATTTCCACCATATCATTAATCTCCTTCAAGCATTGAGTCTCTGAACAAATGTATCCTTGCAATTCTTTACTTTCCTATTGCAAAACATGGGAGAAAACATGTTTTTGAAAGCATTTAAAATTTTGTAAAAAGTAAGGACTGACACTCAGAGGATAAAAGGGTTCCTTTGTCGCTAAAAAGTTGAGATTTATGATGTGCTGTTTTCTAGATATGCAAATCTCTTCCTGACTGTTCTTATAATGTAATTCACACATGCTACATTACTTCCTAAAGCCAATACCACTGTTTAAAATAGTATAATTTATATATTGTAACTTTAACATGATTTTAGATCAAGCAAGTTCTTATATATACCTAAATTTATCAAATTATCACAGATAATTTCATCATTTACTACATTTTTTTAATTACTAAAGAAATGCATCAATCTTTTTTGTATAGTTGATCAAATAGAATAAAACATATTAAAAAATCCACTTTTTTAAAATGCATTAAAAGAGAATGAAAAAATTAAGAACATTTTTTATTATTGAATGCACCTTAAATAAAAGAAGTAAAACAATTATTATTTTTTACTGCTCAGAGTAGAGTTTTGGAAACAAATGAACAGAGTTTTCGTGACGTAACATGTTGACTTTCTGGGTAAATGTCTTGCCGCAGAACTTGCAAAAGAAAGGACGCTCTCCTGTGTGCTTCCTCATGTGTTTCTCAAAGTTACCTTTATGGAAAGTAGTGTATGGACAAAAAACACAAGAGCGGAGTAAAGTTTCAGGAGCAATCAACGACTTTTTTGAAGAATCTTGAAAACCTAAAAAGATTTAAAGATAAATAAGTCAACAATAATTATATTAAAACACATAATTATAAGTTCATTAAACATGGTTATAATTTTTTGATATTTTCTCCAATTTTGCTAAATTTAATAATTTAACAAATATTATGATCAATTAAGTGATCTAATTAAAGGAACTCAGAAAAAGAATGTTAGTATTATTCTCCAGTTAATTCAGAAATTATTTAATAATTTTAAAATGATATAATTAATTAGATTATTGGAAGCTAAACAAAAGTATTCAGAGGTAGAATGCTAATATTATTCAGACTTTAATTGAAAACGAATTTGAACTCTTATGAGATCAATCCGGTGATCTAAGTTATATCAAGTGAATTGAGATGTAAAATTCATATCATTCTCAATTCAATTATGAATACATTTAGAAATTTACTTTTTATAGTGTTCATTAGATAACTGAGGTTAATCGAAGAATTCTGAGGAAAAAGAATTGAGTATTATTCTGAATTCAACTATAAATTTACTCCTATATTGTATGATCAGAAGCTGATTATGTGAATTCAGAGTTATAATGTAAATTATTATTCAGAATTTAATCACAAATTAACTCCTAATATGTTGGATCAAGTGAATTCAAAGGTAAAATAAGAGCATTTTTCTCAATACAATTACAAATTAATTAATATGTTATGGATTGGAAGATCTGAAGTTTAACAAATAAATTTCAGAGTTAATTAGTTTTACACAGATTACTAATTTTAGACGCTACTGGTTTGTTGTTTATAAATTGTGGAACAAATATGGTTCAACTGAAAGGAGTAGGCAGTCAAAAAATTTTATTAAAAAAGTGATAACAATAATTAGTGAAGTTAAATACAAGATATCGTATTTTTCGGCGAAAGCGCCGCTTCGTCACAAGCGCCGNCCTTTTTTTTTTCTTCTTGCGAGGTAAGCGTCTTTCGTTAAAACAAAATGTTATCTAAAAGAAAAAACGAGAACTGTGATCTCGCTCCAAAGAAGAAACGATTATTTCTTCTTCATAGGATTCTGATTATTTCTTCTTGATTATATTATATAGATTATTATTTTGATTAGTAAAATTTCTCTTAAGATGGGCCAGTTTTAAATTCACCCCACTCCATCATAATCTACGATCGAAACTTGACTAAATTTATTGGTTTTTCTGAAATTAACAGTGGAATTGAATTATAGTAATATTTGGGGGATTGGGGGCCATATTGGAATTTTGCGAAAGAGATCCGAAGTTCGGCATTTCGCCAGTTCCGCGAGTGTCGGGTTTAGAGTCCTATTCTTCCTTTTCTGTTCGCTTAAATTACTATTGCCAAGGCGCTAAATAGATTTCTAGATTGCGATTTTTCCTTAAGCTGGGGGTGGATACAAGATGCATACGTTTTAAATTTTCTCCTTATGCGATGTTTTTTTTAAAATTATTATTTCGTTTTTTTATTTTCTTACAGGCTGCTGCCGAAAGTTTGCTAAGAATTGGCGATGTTCTGCAGCAGATCGCNAGATCTGAAGTTCAACAAATAAATTTCAGAGTTAATTAGTTTTACACAGATTACTAATTTTAGACGCTACTGGTTTGTTGTTTATAAATTGTGGAACAAATATGGTTCAACTGAAAGGAGTAGGCAGTCAAAAAATTTTATTAAAAAAGTGATAACAATAATTAGTAAAGTTAAATACAAGATACTTTTAAAAAGTTTGTGTTAGTCAAAGGGAAGTCATAATTAAAAGTAAGTTTAATCCAAATATAAAACATTTAAAGAAACCTTTATGAAGTGGGTAAAAATTAATTAACTATTAAGTAAAAAGAACTGATTTAAAAGTAGTTTAAAAAACAGGCAAATAATTTTAAGCAATTCAACAAGTTTATCAAACACAGAGAAAATTGTTTTAAACTTACAAAAATTGAACTACATAAACAAAAAACAAGACACAAATTCTAATAGGATAAAACAGAACGGTTAAAAAATATTTTTAAGAATAACAACCATCACAAAGTAATAATATTTTTAAATCATTACTTATAATAATATTAATGCATGTATGACGACTAATGGAGACCATCCTTATGATAAGCAACATAAGCACAAGTTCCATTTTGTCAAAGTAAAAAAATTAATTTCAAAATATTTTAAATAATTAAACGAAAAAAATATTAAAGTAAAACTTGACATTATACCTGGTTCAATTTTGATCACAGGAAAAACTTGATTAAGATAATCTTCACACTTAAATATTTCATGATTTTTCTTATACATTCATGTTTCAGATTGATTTTTTTTATAAACCAGTCTTAGAACCAATCAGTGATTGATAAAATTTTCATTTATAATTAATTCATATCTCTTCAAAAACTAAGAACAGCCCTTTGCTTCAATTCGATTTAATTTAAGATTTTTTTATTTTAAAAGAAAGAGATGGAATCGTGTAAGTAGATAAAAACCCTTACAAATGAAGCAAAGCAGATTTTCCAGACCTTTTTACAGTCCAAGAATAGCCACCTTATCCAACAGACTTGAATACAATGAATTTTTCTTTTTGGTGCATTTTGGGGACATGATTTAAAGTTTCATCTCTATAAGACTCAAGCATCAAAAAAAAATTTCTTTTTTGTACAAGGAATGAGATAAAATATTACTAGGTGCATAGCTACTCATAACCAAAAAATTGGCACATGTTTACAGTCCTGGATTAAGGTCTAAGGTTGTAATTTCTTAAATTTGCAGATATATAGCCAGAAGTAATATCTTTTTCAGAACTTGATATTTTAATAAGCATTAAAATTTTAAATTATATATGTTCAAGTAACTTTTTACAACCATGCATTAAAAATATTACCTGCATATGCAATACGATTCAGGATAATGAAAACTTTAAAGTTTTCATCATATACAGAAATGTTGATTCATAAAAACATTTTAGTTTCTATTTAATCAAATAAACACTGATAACAGCTTAAAACACTTTAAAGTTTTCCTGCAATTGAAAGTTTAGAGTGCAATCTCTATCTAATGTATTTCTTCTTTGCTTTCTGCATACAAAGAAATGTTGATACATGAACACATTTTACTTTCTATTTAATTGTATAAACACTAATAATTACTTGTCATGAAAAAGCAGTACAAAAACAGTTGTTTTAATAAACAGTCAAATGAAACAAATGCTAAGAAGAAAATGTACAATTTTTACAGTACAGATAAAGTTTTCAGAAACAAAAGGGAAAAAAAGGTATTACAGATTATGGTCCAACATATGAATACCCAATGACGAGGCACTACGGAAACATTCTTTACAAATATGGCACATTAACAGTCTTGATTGTGCATGAAGATTTTCATGAATAAGCATATTTTCTTTTTGAGTAAACTTTTTTTGACAGTAACTACAAGAGAAAGGTCGTTCCCCGGTATGTTTTCTCATATGCCTCTGTACATTACCTTTATAGAAAGATGAATATTTGCAATAAGAGCATGAATATTTAGTATAACCTTCAGCCAATGAGGGATCCAAACCTTCTGGAATCTTCGTTGAATCTGATGTATGAAAAAAAAAAGAATGTCAAAAGCATTCATAGCAGCAATAATTACTGATAGACTAAATATACGTTACACAACTTGCTTTTCAATCTTTACAACTTCTTAGTTTTTTTTTATTAGAAAGATACAACTATAAAACTTTTTTTCTACAAAAGAAAAGGAAAGCTTCATTAAAAAATAAGAGAGTGATCTAGTGTCAAAGTCCAAGCTTTTTATTTCTTTCATTTGAAACACAGAATTTAAATATTAAAAAACATATTTAAAAGAAGTCCTGTAATATTATGCATAGGGAAAAAATGGTACATACTATATAACTTATAAGAGATTCAATAAAAGCAATAAGGAAAATTATAAACAGTATTCTACCNTTCCATTTTAATACCACTGGAAAAAATGAAAATGGGAAGGATTAAAAGTTGGCAGGTATGCTATATAACTTATAAGAGATTCAATAAAAGCAATAAGGAAAATTATAAACAGTATTCTAGCTTTCTTAAGGGATGAAAAAAATATAATATATAGCAAGGCTAAAATAAAATAAGGAGGCAAATCTAAAATAATTTTACTGCATTTCATTATTTCAGTGTTTGAAAAAAAAAGAGTTATTAAGAAACAAAATAAAAAACACAGTTTTCAAATTGCCATATGGTTCGTTTATTAAGTCACTTGGCTACTTTTGGTTATGTCTCTCAGTGCATGCATTTTCATTTCACTCATACTTTCCCCTTCACTGCTATGTAGATTCAGTTTCAACCAATTTTATTAAATTCTTTAAGATTTAAAATTAAGGATTGACTTGTATTGTCATAAAAAAAAATTTAGCAACAGTCAGTGATTCAGTTTGCCTACATCTCAGCAGAGACATTGAAATACAAATATCAAAATATTAATTTACTTTTTCTAAAAAAAATATTTATACTAACAAATACTTCGTAAGAATACATTCTAAGAATATTCTTCATATATTGCAGAAAAACTACAATAAATTAAAAATTAATTTAAATTTTGTGCAACCAACAAACCGAAAAGAATTTTCCCGAAAAGAATTTTGATAAAATAAACATTTAAAAAATAAATTAAGTATTAAAATGTATAATTAAAAACATACTAATACTTAAACGCATTGAAATTTCTCTACCTTTCGGAGCCACAAAGCAAACTAGATTCTTGGAGGTTATTTTTAAAGAAACTATTGGTAGTGGAGTTACGTAATCTAAAATTTATAGAAGGGTAAAAAAAATCAGAGGGTCAAAATTGTAAATGAGGAAACATGTTCAAAATGTTTGCCTTGAAAATAGGGTTCTTATTCTAAATATTTTAAGCAAAACGAGAAACAATTTTGAAACACTAAATTTTATTTTACTAGTTACAATATTGTGTAGTGAAAAATGTTATAGTACATAACTGTAAAATAATAGAAGATAGACTTAAGAAGGAAATAGTACATGTTAATAGAACAATAATTATAAGAAGTATTTACAATTTTCAAACTTGAATGAATGTAATTTATTGGCAAATACTCTTTATTCAATACTAAATTAACAAAAAGGAACAAAAGTTTACCTAGAATATTTTATATTCTATGTCATATGCAAAATAGAAATTAAAAAAATAATTGTTTATAATAAAGATTTCTTATTAATTAAAAATCAAATGACAAAATGTTACAAAGAGATAACAGACCTACTAATTATGTCTTTATAAATTATATAAGAAACATACTATGACGTTTAAAAAATAGAAATTGTTTAAGATTCTATCCTGAAAGGCTAAAAATAATAATATCATATATATGGAATATTTTGCATAATCATTAACCGTTTTAACTTGAGTGGTCAAAAAATAAAGTGTAACTGGTGATATTTTCATCTTGTTATAACATGATAATCAGATATCATACAAATACAGTAAACTCTGGATATATCCAAGTTGAAGGGACACTAAAATTATTCGGGATAAGAAGTTCAGAGCTAAATACGTTCTAAAAAGTAGAAAAATTTATTCTAAATTAGTCATAAAACATAAGAATAATTATATAATGAGGTTTTGAGAAAAAAAACACTTTGACATAGGAATTCAAATTAACATTAGGTGGATATGTAGGGAAAAAGATTTCTTTTTGACATAATAGATTTCTGAGATATTGAAGTTAGAGATATTGAGAATACACTGTACTTACGATTTTACAATTGTCGTTAGAATAAACTAAAGCTTTTTTTTTCATTCTTTACATTGGAATGAAATAGAAATGGCAAAAAATATGAAAACTAATAATAAAAGAAACTATCAGCAATTGAAGCAAATAATTTTATAAAAATTTTTTTAAGTGAATAAGGAACAATATTTTGCTGAAAAAAATCAATAAGTCAGTGATTGATTCAAAAACATATTTAATTATCATGTGAAAACATGTTTAATTATATTGTTATAACATGCTTAGTTATCATGAATGATTAAAAAACTAAGCATAACTACTATTTTGATGCTCACATAACTTGATTATCAGATATCAAATATGTAGAATATTTTGTTCATAACAAATCTAAGCTCATCAATAAACCAACTAATTATTTATACATGTAAATTATAAAACAAATAAACAAAAGCAATTAAGAGATGAATAACATTAAAAATTTCAATGCGAATGGTTAGAAAATAAAGTTTAACTGGTGCTATTTTCATAATTGCAATAGCAAGATAATCATATATCCTAACATAACAGTACAATCAGATATAACATATGCATATGTATAATAGAAAATAATATTATGCATAACGTAAAATACTTATACAAATGCAACTTTGTAAATGTTTTGAGTAAATCTAAAAATTTGGGCTTAAAGAAATTTTAATAGCTTAGTAAGTAAATTACTCAATTCATTAGATTTTGATAAAATGGATTCTATGGGCTATTGAGTTTACTTATGTACTATATTAGCAAACACCAAGGCAATGGTTCAATGTTTTAATTTTCACACAAAATCTCGGTGGCATTGCTTGTGGGACCACATATGGTGTTTTTGAGCAAAAGTTTTACCGCACACATCACAGTGGAATGGTCTTTCACCCGTATGTTTCCGAAAATGTTTAGTCATAGAGGATTTATAAATGGTTGAATAATTACACTGTGGACATATATGTCGAGTGCGGCCAAAAACCTTCTTGATGTAGGGTCTCGCTATTTCAAACACTGAAAAAGAAAGAAAAAAAGAATTGGAGTCAAATATGACAAAGTTATTTTTTTTTTAAAAGAAAGAAACTTAAATGCCATGAGATGAATTCTAATTTGCACAAAATGAGTTTTCAAGACAAATAGATGCATATTTATTGTAGTTCCACACAAATGTTATAAAAAGTTTTTTTAAAATCATATAAATGAACATTCAATTTCTTAATTATAAGTTTCTGTATTAACATTGCATCAATAAACCCAACTTAATAATGAAAGCTTTGAAAAGGAATCTTTGTGGCTAAAATTTTACTCATTCTTAAATACTGTTTTAATAACTATTGACAAATCCAAAATGAATATCATCAATAGGTTACTAAGTCTATTGAAATAATGAAAAGAATATTTATTTTTTTTAAAAAATTAACATAATTAGACAATATTGTTATACATATCAATGAATATTAGAAGAAAAATTAATGCCATAAAACAAAATTTAGCATAAATATCTTCCTCAGAAACTGACAAATAGAGCCATAAAAAATACTTTTAAAAATATTTTAATTAATCCTTTGAATACATGATTTGAATTTTTCCTCATTCATTCAGGTAACATTTTAATGCTACGAACTGAATAAAAATCATCAAGAAAAGGATGCAAAGAAAAATTGTAATTTATGCACAGAATTTTATAATACCATGGGTAAGTATTAATACTGAGATGATTGAAAACTTGTTTTCCTTTACGATCAACAAAAACTTTACAAATTTAGCAAGCATTAAAAATAATCGAACATTTAGATTTCAGAGGCACAACTTTAGATCAATATTTATCCTCATCTTCATTCATTTTATCTTTATTTTATACTCTGCATCTGTAAGCACCACCATTTTCCTACAATGTGATGGAGATACAGATACACAACCTCTATTATTATATGAATAAATTTACTAATTCAAATCCAACTAAATAAACTGAAACACATTTTGAAATTAAAAAATGAAAAAGAACCTTTCAATTACATAAGAGTAGATATTTCACGAAATATCAAGCTATGTTTTCTCGTAAATCCTCTACCAAATATTCTACATATAAATGGTTTTTACTATTATCATTATTATATGAATAGGTTCACTCATTATATGAATTCTTATTATTATCGTATGAATAGATTTATTAATTCAAATTCAACTAAATAAACTGAAACACATTTTGAAATTAAAAAATAAAAAAGAAATGACAAAAAACCTTTCAATTACATACGAGTAGACATTTCACGAGATATCAAGCTACGTTTTTGTGTAAATCCTCTACCAGATATTCTATGCATAAATGGTTTTTATTATTATCATTATTATATGAATAGATTCACTCATTATTACTATATGAATTCTTCATATTTTTATATGAATAGATTTACTAATTCAAATTCAACTAAAATACATTTCGAAATAAAAAAATGGTAAAGAAAATAAATGAAAAAGAAAAGAAATGATAAAGAATCTTTCAATTACATATGACTAGATATTTCATGAGATATCATGCTATGTTTTTGTGTAAAACCTCTACCACATATTCTACATATAAATGGTTTTTCTCCAGTGTGTTTTCTCATATGCTTAGTCAGATCTGATTTGTACAATGTTTGATATGAACAGTGCGGACATGGATGAATCATAGGAGATTTGATCTGAATGATGTTTCTGTCCATTTTATTACAATCTGTTCTTCTGAAAACTTTTTCTAACTCCTTGATTCCTAAAAAGAAAGACAAATTAAAGCCTCTTTTAAAAACCAGCCAATGCAAAATGACAATTAATTAAATACAACTAAAAATGATAGTAAGAAACATAAATAGCTGTTACACATATAGCTATTTTGACCGCAGAGTGATGTGAATTTACATTCTTATTATTCACATAGTTGAATTGCCAGCATGCTCACAGTAAGAAAAGAATAAAGTTTTTATGTTTTGCCTTTCTTTATATGTTATTTCGTTGCAAGACAATATCTATTCTAATTAAAAAATTATCAATATTGGTTTATGGAAAGCTTTAGTTTGAACAATGAAAATTTTCATAACAGAAGTGAACAATGTCAAATGTGTATATTTATCCAAAAAAAATATGTTTTAATCTGATTATGCATTTACGTATATTATAAGAGATAAATTTAAACCTTATAAAATATTAAATTAACCGTTGTAATGATAAACAAAGACATATTTTGCAACTAAATATTTAAATTTATTGAAAGTGTATATTCAGTTAAAAACAAATATACTCACATACATAGATGATTCCTCAAATATATAATATAAAACTACATACATATTCATTAATACAAATGAAAAAAATGAATTGTAAAGCTTAAAATTAGTTAGGTCAATAAATGTCTTATATGATTCAGTGTTGTAGCACTATTTAAATTGACGGTCATGGCAGAATAGTAGTTAATACAGTACAGAACCCGTTATCCGGAAATCAGAAAACCGGAACGAAATTCGANCGCCATATTAAAAAAAAAACAATTTTTTTTCCTCATAGGATTTTAGGATTTTTCGTTCTTATTTGAAAGATGTTTACCTTACCATCATTTTGGAAATAATCATTAGTGTATTATTTCATCGTTTTTTCTTCTTTTTAAGATTATTTCCAATTTTTTTTTTTTTTAGTTGGGTTTAACTATAAAAAAAACGGGTTTTTGTAGCGATTCAGAAAACCGGAAAAAATCAGTTATCCGGAATATCGATGGTCCCGATCGTTACGGATAATCGGTTCCCTACTGTACTATCATAAGTGCAGCATGAGGGGGCACACTTTTTGTTTTTAGATAACTGTTCATCTATTTTAAGTTTTATACCTTCTTTAATATACAAATATGCATACATATAAAAAAATAAATAGGTCTATATATATAAAACTTAAAATAAACAAACACTTACCTATAAACAAAAGTGTTCTCACACTACGCCTATGACTACACTATTAAATAACATACTATTTTAAAAACAAATATAATTACAAAATTCCATCTAAAAGACATTTTACTTTAAATTATAGCAGCCAATAATGTTTGTTTATATATAAAAAATTTTTTTTCAATATATTTAAATGTTAAAAACATTTTGCACTTATTGTGTAAAACTATTGCCTGACTGAGATTTCGAAAAATGTCTTTTATACTTATGAGTCAACATTGAGTGCTTTTGACTAAATTTTTTCTCACAAACATCACATTCAAATGGCTTTTCTCCTGTGTGTGTCCTAACATGTCTATTTAGAGCAGTGGAATAATAAGTACTGTAGGGACAATATGGACAAAAATGTCGACTTTGAATCAATGAACTTGTCAGCGATGAGTCGATCATTTTCACTACAAATGTGCCTGAAAAGAAGCAGTAAAGTTTTTATTAAATATATGCCAAAAAAAAAGGAGTGAAAAAACACATTAAATGGAAATATAAAATGAATATACGTGAAAAAAATATTTTGATGTTTAACCCTTTCGAGCCGACTGTCACATATATGTGCCATCAAGAAACGCGCTCACTTCCCAACCGACACACCCGCGTGTCAGAGAGTATTCTCGTTCACCCCCGACCGTCACTTATTTGTGCCAGCGTTTCGGAACGTTTTAAAAAATGAAATTTCTTCCAAAAGATGGCATTGTATGTCCATATGGTTTCAGATACATGTAGATTTGACCTTCTACTCAAGATGAAAGTACAGTCACGTGGTTTTTAGGGGAAGGAGTGGAGGGGGGGGGGGAATGTTTTATGAGGGCTCTTTAAATTAGCACGTGATATTTATTTACAGTAAGTAATGGAGTTTTTTTTTTCTCGCGCTACTTTCGATTTTCGGATCAGTTTTTAGTGGATAATTAGATCTTGTAGGCTTGAATTTTTTTTCTTTTTACCGTTAGAATGTCGAAGCGTCGAAAATTTTTGACTGAGCTGGAAATAGAGGAAATTATGCAAAATAATTCAGATATTGATTCTGAAACAGATTCGGATAGTAGTGATAGTGACACTATAATGAAAATAAAATGTGTAAAATATACATTTAAACAAGAAATAACTTAAGTAAATAAAGTAGCCATAGAAATATATATAAAGCACATGTCACTTAAATACTCTACAGAACAATATTAAACAACGCGGTGATATTTCGGTAATTTCATATAATTAGGTCCAGGGGAGACACACGCTAGAGAGACTGCCGGCCTCAGCGGTAAGCGCGCATTGCGTCGCGAAAGGGTTAATGTGCTTCAAGTGCTGATTCATGGAGTAAAATTTATCAGATTTAATACCATATAGTGAATATTCACAGTAAGTTTTTTAAACAAAAAGATTTATATACCACTTGTTACAATCACACATTACAATCAAAATAAAAAGAATCTAACATAGTAAAAATGACTAAGGCTTCTCAAATAAGGTAGCTGGGACATGTAATTCAATATAGCAATGAAAATTCTGTTATAAATAACTTTCTTAACACCAGAAGGAAAAAGAAAAAGAGGGAGACCTAGAACAAGATGGTTAAATAAAGTAGAGAATTAATTAAAGGACTTGGGCGTTAATAGATGTAGAAATATAGCATCGAATAGATCAAGATGGGGTAAACTTACTGAGGCAGCCTTGGCTGGTAACCGGCTGTAGTGCCTAAGAAGAAGAGCTGATCAACAGGTAAGAAAAAAATGGTTGTTGAAAAAGGTTAAAGTGATCTTAAAATAATGAAATGTTAGTTTTAATTAAATAAAATCATACTGTTACATAAAAATAAAACTATTAATATAAATAAAAAAGTTTTAACAAGTCTGGTCATAGAAAACTCAGTTCAAATGACAAATATAATAATTTAGTAAAAATAAATTAATAAACAATCTGAATTGTCAGGCACTAACCTCAATCTTCATCAAACCATCAATTCAAAGTTTATTTGATTACATTTTATACATTTTGAATAGAGCAAACTTTATGATTTTTCTATCTATTTCCAAAAAGATTTGACATAACAAGATAATGAGAAGAAATACTTCTACATAGGAATTTAAATTAACATTAGGTGGATATATAATGTCAAGAGGAAAAAAATATTTTTGATATAACACGGTTTTCGAGGTATCGAAGTTTGAGATATCGAGAGTGTGCTGTAGTTTAAAGGTATAGTTGAGAGGAAATATTTGTAATGATAATAAATTTAAAAAAAATTCCCTCACAACATAAAATATTAAGATTATGATTTACCCTTAAGCTAAGAGATTATGGTTCACCCTTAAACTGTATGACTTTAAGTTTCTTAACATTTGAAATTTATAACTACAGTTCATAATTGTTTAGTACAATTTTTAAGATTAATTTAGTTAGAAGTTAACAGATCATGAAATCAAATAGGCAAAAAAAAAATAAATAAATAAAAAACAGATCACACACAGTATTTGAGACTGATATGTATTACAAGTAAGAGGTGATTGATTTTAAGATACATTTTGATCTTATGATATTTATAAATCCAGTACCAGTCACAGTTGTACAGCCAGAAAAACATAAAAAAAAACCTCAAATTAATTTGCAGGCAAACAAGTAAGTTTTTACACAGTAAGAAGCAATCTTAATATATGATCGACTAAAATATGCTAATTAATTAATTCAAATCAGGAAAAGACGTACTTTCAATGAATAAACATACCTTTAGATCATCATTAGTATTTTGCAGAGCAAGTTTATTGCCAAAATGTAATGATTTGCACAATCAGTTCAGTGATATATCAAAGAAGGAAGAAACAAATTAGCAAAAAAAGGTAAAGTAGTCAGATTCATGCTTCGTATATTAAAATTACAAAGAATCTTCAAAATGCATAATCTAAAAAAAAGTTATTGAAATATTTTACGCTGTAGAATGATAAAAAATTAGAATTTTTTACTTTTTAATTTTTTAAACATATCAGAGAAACTGACTTTGTGAATAGATATTTTTTGTGCTTATTTTTNTTTGCAGAGCAAGTTTATAGCCAAAATTTAATGATTTGCACAATCAGTTCAGTGATATATCAAAAAAGGAAGAAACAAATTAGCAAAAAAAGGTAAAGTAGTCAGATTCATGCTTCGTATATTAAAATTACAAAGAATCTTCAAAATGCATAATCTAAAAAAAAGTTATTGAAATATTTTTGGCTGTAGAATGATAAAAAATTAGAATTCTTTACTTTTTAATTTTTTAAACATATCAGAGAAACTGATTTTCTGAATAGATATTTTTTGTGCTTATTTTTAAAAAAAACACATTTACTTACATTTTATTTCACATTAAAAGCATTTTGGAATAATTATTTAATTCAATAGACAAACTAGAATTGTAATGCATATATATTTTAACATCATTTTTATAATGAAAATTTTAATGACAAAGTTAAAAGAAGTCATACCTTTGAATTCTGCACAGGAGGTTACACATTTCCAAAAATATTAATTTTTTAGTCTTTTTTTTTTTACACAACTTGCTCGAATGAAAAAAATACTAATTGTAACTCCATACCTAAACCTTATACTACAAATTTTATAATAAATAAAAACTTTATAACTTTTATGAATTTTTTCTCTCCATGAGACAAGTCTGATAAAGCTATCATCTTATTTATTGGTCAGATAAAATAGATTATTATTGGACAAATGAAATTGACAATATAAACTTACAAAAGGGAAAAAATAAGGCAATCTACTGAAGCAATACTAAGTTCTAACTCACTTTAAATATTTTTAAAACTAAAAGTTTACGTTTATCAATGCATGAAATTTGTTTTGCTTTTTTAAACTTACCCATGCATGAAGGGAAAGAAAACAAAATACCTTATTTTGACCAAAAGTAAACTAATTTAAAAATTACTGGTCTTGAATAACAAAGTCATAGTTTAATTGATACATATTTGTTTCGTAAGCCAAGCTTAATCCTCCTAAGTGCTTATACTATATTTAAATTCAATACAGGGCTTGTAATACTCAAAAAAGGGAACATTTTGATTTATCATTTAAAAATAAATTTCAAATAAAACAGTATGTATTTAACAAGAATTTATTGCAAAAACTTAAATTAGCACTCATAATTTTCTTTACGTTAAAGTCAATCAAATTTGAAAACGTAAAGCTAGTCTTAGAACACATGTAAAACAGATAAATGGAAAATACAGTTCATTAAAATTAAGTGTTGACATTTTATTAATAACATAATGTAGTAGTAAGCCAAGATATAATTAAGCAAATGCATAACAATAACTATTTATTTTAATAACAGCATATGGAAAGCATTTTATTACATAATTAAATTATAATCACAAGAAAAATATAACACAAATGTATATAAAATTAAATCAAATATTCTACAAACGAGTTACAAATATTTAAAAAAAAAAAAAAGAGAATTTGCTAAGCTTATAAAAAGTATATTTAAATTTGTATGCAATTACACAAAATTTAAATTCCCCCGATCTTTTATAATTAAAAAAATTCCTTTGGTTTATTATTTTAAAACAAGTTTAAAATAAAGCAGCAGGTAATTGTTAAGAATTAATTTATAATAAAAACTTAATTTGCTCATCAAAATTTACTCTATGTTAAAGTCAATTAACCTAGAGTCGGCAACTTTCGTAACTAACGAACAATTTAATTTTATTTTATAACCATCCCAGAACAGCTGACCCAATGTTTGGTTTCATGACAACTAATATTCAACTTAAGAGCTTTGTAATTTTGAACCCAATTCAGAAGACAAGGGAGCTCCGGGATCAAGTATTGGCAGAAATTTGCCTTCGCAGAGGATTTTTGATTAAACTAATGCACATTTGCCTTACAAGACGAGGAAAACCACGTAAACCTCCCACAGTTAGCGTGCTGCAAGGGGACTTTAACAGATGATTTGTCTATCACTGAGATTATTTTAAGTCAGCACTGTGGTCGGTGCGAGCCGGGTGCGGAATTCATATTGACCGGACATTGATGAGATTCCAACCAGATTGGAAGACGCACGCTCTAAAGAGTTAGCCTCATGAAGTCATACTTGCCAGGATTCAAATCTCGGACCTTCAGAAATTGAAGTACAACATATAGTGAAATACACAAAAAGAAAAATAAACATTTAGGAAATCGAAATCTTTGAACACAGGATACAAAGTTATTAAGGTATTCTGTTTCTTATTTCCTACAGTGCCTAAACAGGTGACAATTAATATAGTTATTACAAAATCTAAAAAATAATACAACTTCAATTTCTAATAAATTTAAGATGTCAAATTATTAAGCTTTCAGAATAATGTCTATTATACTTATGAGACAACATTGAGTGCTTTTGACTAAATTTTTTCTTACAAACATCACATTCAAAAGGCTTTTCTCCAGTATGCGTTCGAACATGTTTATTTAGAGCAGTAGAATAATAAGTGCTGTATGAACAATATGGACATACATGCCGACTTTGAATGCATGAACTTTTCGCCGATAAACCAATCACTTTCACTGCAAATGTACCTGAAAAAAAAAGTTTTAAATAAAGTTTAAAACAAATTTCTATTAACAACATAAGTTTAAAAAAGAGTTTGATTTTTTACAAAATAGAAGAAATGAGCAAATAAATCACACGTTTTACAGGTATTGTAGACGGGAAATATTTTCAAAAATTACTAAATTTTATCTATATTATTTCTGACGTTCTAATTAAAAGCAAAAAATATATTTTGGTATTTTTAGTTTTAAAAAAACAGTCTAATTGTTACATTAAAAAATCTGTTAGATTATCAGTATTATGTTTGTACTAAAATGCAAAATCTGAAAATAGTAGTCTGAAAAAGATTTTTTTTCCCATTTTCAAAAATGTATCTTTTATAAGGAATAATATATAACTGCAAATTTCAAAAAAATATTGAAGATTTTACCTTTAAAGCAAATTCCGTGCTGTATTTCATAGCCATAAATTATTTAAATGCTAAATATAATATTTTTATTTAACACAGAATAATAAAAAAGTATGAAAAATGTGTTTAATAAAAATTCTGCATTAAAGGATTAACACTTTTCAATTTTTCATTTTGTATATATCCAATCAAGTTAAGGAGATTTATAAATTAAGGTAAAGTAAAAAAAAAAATTTTTTTTAAAAACCAATTTTTCNCCTCCAAACTAGACTATGTCATACTCCTTCAGCTATATTTGAAAGAATTCCGCTAAGCACACTCTACATGCCATTTTGATCACAAGCTACAAACAGCTATTAAAAGAAGCAACAATAATTTAAAGATGATGATAAAATAAATTTGGAATTGGCAAAGTTCATAAACAGTTAAATGAATTAAGTTGGTTTACTTAAGTAACATTAGTTCTGGTTATCATGAATGCCACTCTAAAAATACTTCATGACTGAATTTATATATAAATTTTTTTGATCACTTAACACAATCTCTACTGCAGCTTCCAGGATAACTCCTCCAAACACACGTCTGTCGTGGCGGGTACTATGGTTACGAGGGAAAAAAAACTTCTAGGGGTGTAGGGAGAATACTTTTGTCTTAATCTTGGCATAGGTCGTCGTAAGTAAACCAGTTGACACCTTCTTTCCTTCATTTCACCCTCATTAGAAATGTGCTCTCGCTTGTTATCATAGTAGCAGACAGTCCCAGATATTTAGTTTGGAGGAGTTCTCCTCAAAGTCGCACCATAAAGTTGTTTATTTGAATTTTCAGAAATTTATAGCTCACTGACGCCAAAATGTACCTTTCTATGATAAGGGCTCACATATTAAATCAATTACGGAGTTATTTTTCATTTTATTAATTTATTTTTTACAGCAAACAAGATAAAAATAACAGCTAACCTTGTACATCTTTTTACATCAATCACTAAATAATAACACACAAATTTTTTTATATATAACTCTACTTATTTTTTACTTCATCATTATTTATTTTTCATCCTATCTCCATAAATTTCCTTTTTTTAAAAAAAAATAATCTCAATTTAACTTTGGGGAAAAAATAAAAACAAGAAAATTTAGATACAATAATAGCACAAATTTTGTTTAAGAAAGTAGGCGTTGAAGCTCAATCTCATTTTCATTACTGAGCTACATCGTTACTTGATTATTTTTGTAGTAATTACAATTAAAAATGTTACATTAAAATGTAATTTTTATTTAACAGAAAATAAGTGTTTCATTTTTAAGGAAAAACAAAAATTTTAATATTAAAAACAAATGGAAAGAAAATATTAATTTATGATACTTAATCTACTGATTATATCTCAAGACTGATTTCAGTCCCCAGGACTGAAAAGTGGCACCCATGCTGATAATACAAAAAAAATATTTCATAACACTCTAGCAACAGCAACAATGAGGTAAGCATTTGCAAGGTTTGTAAAAAAAACAGATACGTGAAACTATTTAGTTTACTAGTCTGAAAGTTCAAAATACACATAGAAAGATGCTCGATTCATTGCTTCATAGATTTGAGTTCATGGACGAATAATTTGTGACTAATCATAGAATGTTTTTGTGTGAAACCTTTCCCACAGGTGGGGCAAACGAATGGACGTTCACCTGTGTGTTTCCTTACATGCCTTTCTAAGTCACTTTTTCTAGAGGTTGAATAAGAGCAAACCAAACAAGAGTGTTGAGCATAATTCTCAACATATCTTCTACTTTGTAACATAACAGATACCTGGACTTCTGAAAAAAGTAAGCAATTATTTAGATCTAATAAATTAGATGAATGGTAACAATTTGTAAAGCAAGTTAAATTCCTCACCTAACTGATTTTAACTGACATAATTTTAAACTTGGTTATAAAATATTAATATTACTGTTTGCAATGGGAAATATTAAAAAGGTCATATAGGCTTTGAAAACTTAAATAATATAAAACGAGCACATAAATAGTCATTGCAAAAAGCTTATAGTTTTTTTTAAGACAATAACAATAAAGTGATTTAAAATAGATTAGATTTTATGATGATAAAAAAATTAAAGGAAATAATTTGCTAATGATCATAATTGAGATATAGAAACTGTTTTCAGATTGTTTTGAAGGAAAAATAATAAAAAATTAATAAAAATTTGCGTGCACAAATAATAATTGTATACACAAAATAATAATATGTGTACAAGTACACAAATAGTTATTTCCAAAAGTCCTCAGCTTTTCAAGACAATAACAATAAATGATTTAATATAGATTAGATTTCATGATGATAAAAAAATTGAAGGAAATAATTTGTTAATGATCATAATTGTGATACAGAAACTGTTTTCAGATTATTTTGAAAGAAAAATAATTAAAAAAGAATATCAATTTGGGTAAACCAATTTGTGTGTGTATATATATATTTACAGATTTAAAACTATTATTGACTTCTGTGAAGGTTTAAAAATTGCTCTTTTAGAAAGACTAGAATGAAATTGAATTGAAAAAATGTGTTTAGTATTTATCAGTTGAAATTATTGCAAGCCAGTGAAGAAAAAGTGAAACAAATTAACGGAGATAAAAACCCTGAAAAAATTCTTACTAGCAACATATGACTGTTGTTTGGAAAAGGCAATTCAGAGGTTTCCATTAATATAAATCATAAGGAAGGCGCTCAGCTCCACAAGCATAAGGACATTTTTCAGAGTTAACATTGTTAAAAAGAGGTTGTTAAAAGAATTTTGACAGGATATTTCCGAATATGTGCCTAAAATTAAAATTCATTCAAATTCAAAAGCAAATGGAAAAATTAAAAAAAAAAAAAGAAAGAAAGAAGGGATGCTACATTTGGAAATAAAAATTTACTCTCTCTCTCTTATGATAACAGTAGCACAACAAATAAAATAAGCATGGAACTTCCAAATTCAGAATTAGAAGATTAAAAAAAATAATAGTATTCCTTTTCAAATTGTCCAGTTTGTGTTTTATTTTCACTTTTTAGGCATTCCTATATCAGATATTATTTTATGTTTTATGTGTACGTCGAATGATATTTAATGATTATCGCTGAAGATTGACAAAAGGAGAAATATTTCTTTCGGTGATGCTTTAGAATTCTTTAAACTTACAGTGGATCCCATTATAAACCAACCCTCAACTTCAGTTTCAAAATTCGTGGTCAGCATTTGGAAATATACAGTATAAATATAATTTGGTAGATGATAATTATAGTAAATATTAAATGATTAAAAGAAAGAATATTTTTTTTTGTTAACATTTGAAGAAGGAAAAAAACAATTTTTTTTAATGTTTATTTAACAACAGCCTAAATCTGCATGCTTGTACTACCTGAGGTTACCAAACTATTAAAAAAAATTAACTCCACTAAAATTGAATCCCAGTTAAAACACAAACAATGACAAACTTTTATGTACCCTTTAAAAATAACCAGCAAATCATGAGGAAGAACTAGTTATTCTTCATAGGGATAATGACATTAATGATTAATGTAATACATACATATATATATATATATAATAAAAAAATGTATACCATGTGGGTATCATTAAAAATTTTGTAAGAATCATTAACATATACAGATTATTACAGTCTTAATTATTGATAATTTACGCATAACAAAAAATTCATGTTTGTATATTAAAAAAATCAATTATATTAAAGAATCATTAAAAATAATTTTAAAAAAAATAACCCAACAGCAAATAATGACAAAATCTTAGAGTCACAAAAAAAATTAATTTATTATTAACCAATAATTTTACAATTAAAGTAACAACTAACACAGGTTTAAATTTTCAATTTAACTAAAAACAAATAATATTAAGTAATTTTAATAACTAATGGGAACACTACTTAGTTTTGACACCTTAAAACAAGCTTAAATCAATGATTTAAAAGATAATGTATGGGAAATCAATTAATATTTATCTTCAATATATTTTGCTTACTTTGTCAACACATTGCTTATGAATAACAAATCATTTTAACAACAGATAAAATTAAGAATACTTCATGTATAATTTTAAACAAAATACAACGTTAGTAAAAGTAATCACTTAAATTTTAAAATTTTTAACTTTTCAGAATAATACATATAATGAAATAAATAATACAATTTCTTTTTCAATAACAAATGTTGGATATGCGAACTAGCATTAACATAGGTAACAACTAATCTGTAAACATTTCCCAACCTTTCTAAGTTTTAATGTATTTTTGATGCAGTGATTATATATACTTAAGTTAATTGAAGCTCTTTGTAGTGTATATATCAGCTAATATTACCAGAAACAATTTACATAACAGTTAATCATTAAAAATTGCTGACAGTAAAAAAAACTAGGGAAATAAAGACTCACTTTATTAAAGATCATATGTTTGGCATGTTACATAAGGTTCACACATTAAGCATTTATAACTGAAAGAAGCATAAAATTGGGAAAAGAAAAAAATCCTTCTATCTATCACTAATATAATATAGTTATGAAAATATAAAACTCTGGTATCATTTAATGCTTTTGATAAATGCGCATTTTATTGCATAAACAATTTTAAACATATAACATATTATCAATTATGAAACAAACCATAATTTTCTTAAAAGGTCAATTTAACTCTTCAACTGTTTTCT